TAACGTCGCTTGTCTAGATGCAAAACAACTCGCTTTAAAACTTTATATAAATGCATTTTATGGTGAAGCTGGAAATAGTGAATCTCCTTTCTTCTTGTGAAAACTAGCAGGTGGAGTAATATCAGCTGGTCAGCGAAATATCAAGCTTATTGCCGACCTTGTCAGAAGTAAAGGGTTTGGTGTAAAATACGGGGATACTGATTCATTATACCTTGTTTGTCCTGAAGAATATTTCCAAGAGTGTGATGAGAAATATGATTCAGAAGAGATATCAAAGGAAAAATATTGGGAAGATATGGTGAGAATATCTATGAAGATAATGAGCAAACTTCATGATGAAGTAAACGATTTTTTTAAAAAAGACAATGGCTTCTCATATCTTAAAATGGCATATGAGGAGGTTTTATTCTCTGTAGTATTTACTGGAAAGAAAAAATATTACAGAATTGATCATTAAAGAGTCCCAAATTTTAAGTCAAAAAAGCTTTTTATTAGAGGGGTAGATACAGAGAAGCGAGGACAGTCTAATCTTTTTCGCAAAATAGGAAAACGTATTATGAAAGAATCTATGAGAGTAAACAATATACGTACCTTGCATCAGATTGTAGAGGATGTGCTCAAAGAAACTGTAAGGGATATTTTGCAGATAGATCTTAATGAAATAATTAAAACTGCTGTGTAGAAGCCCAATAAAAATAACAAGAGTGTACAGGGCTTCATTTCATAAATGCGAGATAGACATACCCGTGAAGAAGCAGATGCCAAACGGCTTATAAAAAAAGGCCTAACACCTGAGCCTTATCTTTATCAAATTCCAGAACCAGGTGAATGTTTTGAATATATTGTAGTTGAGAATGATTCATCACAGAAGGTAGGTAAGAAAATGGAATACCCGGAAGTGGCAAGACGTCTTAGTAAAAAGATCGATATTAACTATTATCTGAAAACTGTTATTGAGCTCTGTGCGCATTTTATAAATTATGGTGATAGATTCCAGCCATCATCTGAAATTTTGCTAAAAACCTTTAAAAAGTTAAAGATGATAATGAAGTGGATGGAGATGAAGTGGATAAAGACAAAGTGGATGAAGACGAAGTGGATGAAGACGAAGTGGATGAAGATGATGTGGATGAAGACGAGTTATCAAAAATAAGAGACTCCTTGGTGCAGAAATCAGCTGAAAAGTGGGTTAAAGGATATATTAAAAACCTACATGAAGGTCTGAAAAAAGATGAAACTATCATATCCCATCTATGGAAAGAAGCACATACTTATGCGAAAAATTTATATGATACTGCTTATGCTGATAAAATAGTAAAATGCTTGGGAAATGATACTTATTGGTGTTTTTTTCTCAGTGCATTAGATAAGCAGAAGGAATTTATTCGCATAAAGCTAACGACATTACTTGCAGAAATTTCCCAAGACAATATGGCGTGCAGAGAAGAAATGTATAAATTAGTTACTAAGGCCGGTAAGCACAAATCTAAAGCCATGACCTTAGAAAAATATATGTTATTAACATATATTCAAGAAAATGGATATGAAATATTAGCTGATTTGCAGAGCACGTGGTACAAAGTAGTTGGCCTAGAAATCACACGCTATCTAGCATCATCGAAGTTACAAGGTGATAAAAAAGATAATTCGTCCGAAGCAGATATAGATGAGATCATCGAATTATATGGTTAAGTACTCTTAATGAGGTTTGGTAATTCTAGCTAAGAAAACTTAGTCATAAGATGCTTTGTATAATATTATTTATATATTTTTTCTTATACAATAATACCGGTTAACTTCAATTCCTATATTCAATCTTCTGGCCTCTGATATGCATTTCTTTTTTCAAATTTATAAGAAAAAAGGTGGTAGTATTTTTAAATATATACTTTCATAATATAATAGCTGAATTGCACGACCAACTTTCTCAGTATATAGGCTTCGAGCCTAGCGAAATTCGTCTTCCAATCACAGAAGAGGATAGGCAGGTATTTCATAAAATAATATCAGAACAGAAGGGGATGGGAGATATAGTAATGAATGACTATCGATTTTTGCTACATCATAGACATAATGGTAAGGGTGGTAACCAGATCCATATTGGCTAGTTAGTAGCATATACAGTATTTCAAGCTGAAAAGGTCTTAATTAATCTGCCCGAAGATTTATCAGAAAAAGTATTAGCTCATATTGAAAAAAGATTTGAAGAAGTCCCACTAGTGCCAGTACTCATATAGTAGATATTTAGATGTTATCCCTGGCTTATCTGGTACCTCTTCTCTATTTATATATTTAGGTGTTATCCCCGGCCTATCTGGTACCTCTTCTCTATTTATATATTTTTTGTAGGCAGGATATCTGACTTTTTCTTTTGGCATGATGCTCTCCAAATTCCATAGCTTTTTCACAACGACTAACCATAAAATTACGATTAATAGAAAAAGCAATATCAAGCAGGTGAGCACCGATGATAGTAATTTGTCTATATCAATAGAGTTCCTCGAGCCACCTAATGAAATCTCTTCTTTGCAAATAGTAGCAGATATGATTTGTTCTGAAGAAGCGCTAGAGATCTCTGGCTCATTATTTTTTTTGCCACCACTTTTTGCATATGAATCAGTTCTCTCAGGACCATCTGGCTAATTATTCTTATCAAAGTATTCTGGGGGGAATAAATTAATCACAGATTGAAGCGATTTCACTTCCTCTGATTTTGCATGATATTCAGCTTTATATTTGGTGAGAGATGTCTCTGCACAAGCATATTGGGAAAAAAGTTTAGAATTTTCAACCTTCAACCATCTGGTCTCATCATTGATCTTCATGTATTCATTCCGCAATTTAGCATTATAATCTCGTATCTTGGATGAGTCTTGTAAGATGCAACGTATCTCTTTTCCAAGATCATATGTTCCCATTTATTTACATTAGCTATAAACATGTAAAAAAAACTTTCAAATTTTATGTTAGAGAATAATCACAATAAATAAAAAATAAACACGAAGGTTATCAATCGGTTTTATTATTATTTTAGATAGCGTATTAGAATGTATTCTATCCACCTAAAACAATAAATTATGCTTTCTAATATTCCCTCTCATCCTAAAATAATAAATATTGAATTCTTATTTTTATTATCCATCTAAAACAATAAATATTAATGCCTAATATTTTTTATGCATCTAAATACATCGTCTAAAAAATATCAGAAGACTATGTCTACCTCAATTTTAAAAACTCATTATCGGCGAGGTGCAAATGTTTTAACATCTGAACAGATCAAAGAAATTAGATGCCTCAAAAATAAAGTTCCAGTATATATGATAGTAAAGAAGTACTATATTAATAAAAATCGTGTTTATGATATATAGAACGATTGTAAGCGTTTTCAGCAAAATGGAAACCACTTTTATGAGGAGCTTAGAAAAGCACAATCTATCTCTTCGGAGAATGGTTTAGAAGTTCATGCTAAACAACCTTGCGAAGCATCTAACGAGTCAACTCCAAAAGAATCATCTGAGATTGTGGGGGTCCCTCTGGTACCATCATCTGCTGAGATGAATGTGCAAGAAAAGCAAAAAAAGAAAAAAAAACTGTTAAAGTCTGGATCCATTCGAAATTCTAACTTATCTAAAATTTCGGCTGGGGGTCCTTGCCAAAACTCCTTACTAGATGTCTTATATGAACTAATTACTTCGATTAAAAAAGATCGTATAGAATCAGAGGAGTCTATGTGTAAATCGGAAAAGCTTTTTGCTCTTAACTCACTTTGCTAAGCTAGAATATCTAGTTAACAAGGAAAAAGAAATCAGAGGTTTTTATTAATCTCAATTAATTTAGCTTTGGAAATGAGAATATCATACAATATTTTTTTAAGCTCCTTATAGCTCATGCGTTTTTTTTAATACATCATCATACCTATTTAACTCCTGTGAGTCCTGTGATATATTATCCAAAGTCGAGAAATTATCAGATTCGGGAGTAATATTCGCACAATTCACCTCGAGCTTGTTCTTGACTTTATGCATAGTGACCGGAATGATATAATCCTTTCCATTATGAGGGAACTTTAATTCGTTTTTACCCCAATCCATGGCGCAATTATATTTCTTTAAAAGCTGGTTAGAAAATATTAGGGTTGGCTTGTTATATCTAACAACAACAAAATCTTCATGAATAGTAAGTCCAGGAGCTAGAGTAATAGGTAAATTACGAACCACTCCAATAGATTCAACTGGAACGGTAGTGATGCTACTGAGATCATGTGTTTCAGACTTATCAATTTTAGCCTTTATACGATCAACAATATTTTCGGTTACTATAGGAAGCTTTGCTCCAGAATCAAGGGTCATAGCGGGGATTTTTAAGCACTTAATTTTACATTTCACAGTTGCAACGCTTGTGGGGGCTCCTTCTTCTTAACGAAATCAATTTCCATCGGACTATCCAAATAGTCTTCCTCCTCTAAACTGGATTCATCCGGAGTTGAATCTTTGAAAAATGATGGTGTGTCGTTTTGAGATTTTATCTTCTCCTGTATGGAAACTATCTGTTTGGGCACAACAGGACTAGAGTCTTGGGAAAAATATGCAGGAAAAATTAATTTAAGTTCGCTTTGGAGGATTTTACGAATAGTTTCCTCTAGTGGAATTTCTCTCGGTTTGGCGCTAAACATCTTTTTAAGAGATGATTTCATGGAGCTAGAATCCTGCTTCATTTTTTTTTTGACTTAGCTATGTTAATGGTGATATCACCTTCAGAATCGGAGAAATCTTCTGAACTTCTATCAGAGTCAGAACTATCACTAGAAGAAGTATTAGAAGAAGAAGTATCTGAATCCGAATTCGAATCTACGGTAGTGATATTAACCTTACCCTTTTTAGACTTCTTACTTCTCTTTTTCTTCTTTCTAGAGCAATTTCGGGAATTATGTTCAGATCTTTCGCAGATGAAGCATTTGTGACCTGATGATTTCTTAACAGCACGTCTAACAGCAGTTTTTATAACACTATTTAATATTAATCCTGCTAAACTATCTGAAATATCTTCTATAGGATCATGATCATATTCATCGGTAGGGTGTTTATCTGGATTTTTTCTTAGTAAATCACTTAAAAAGCAATTAATGGCAGTATTTTCCGCTCTCTTCTTAGATGATTTTTTACTATTATCTAGAGTTTTAGTTGCTCGAGACATAGTCTCTTGCAAAGATTTAATGGTAGACTGCAAATCAGCATTTTGTTGAGCTGTTTGAGACTCTGAGGGTGCTATTGCAGTTTTTATCAAATCCAGGATTTCAGTTCTAGTCATTCCTGATTTGTTAGTGTCTATGTAGGGTTGGCTGCCGGAAAAACAAGAAGAGAAGATGGTGCATTTCTTTGAAAAAGTGTAAATTTTTCCGCTTCAGCTAAGGCTCTTGTGATATTTTCCTGAGTATCCTCAAATTTAGCCATCATTCGAATATTATATTGGTTCATAGGATTTAAGCCACAAATAAATTGCTCTCTTTGTTGTTCAGGTGACATTCCAGCCAATTTACCAACCTTTTTGATTCGAGTGGAGAACTCTTCAACACCCATATCTCTTTGCATAAGTTGACCAAAAACTGCCATTTGTTTTAAGTGTTTAACCATCGTATAAGAAGTACTAAATAGATAAAGGAGTTGCCCAAGCTTAATACCAGGAGCAATTGTAACAGCAGGAAAACCTCTGCCAGCATTTGGTGCGACTAGTGCATTATCTGTAGGTTCACCACTGGCTATAGACCAGTCTTCATCCCATGTTCTATTCGGAATAATATCAGCACCAGTTGCAACACCTGCTCTAATTCTACCAATTTCTGCTCCAGCTTTGTTACGAAATTCTCTTGCAGTATTCAAACCACCAATCTGATTACCACCATTTCCAGCACCTATTCCTCAAACAGTAGTTAAAGTAGCTACACCTAAGTTATCTGAGAGATTATTACATCTCCAATTTTTGCCCTTAATGCGGGTATTATACCAATTCAATGCAGGGCCTGCAAGACATGATATTACCAATCCAAATGTCTCTTCTCTTCTAGCGACCTGACCTACACCAGGTGCAACATTTATTCGACTAGCTACTATATATCTTTGCATCTCTCTAAGCCAATCCTCTGGATCTTCTCCAGGATAACCATGAAATATTGGGGTCTATATCCTACCATTCCTATTCGTTGTATATTAGGTGGGTTATTCTGTAGCGCAAAAATTTGTTGATTTAAATTTAAAATATTCTGGCGTTCTGTATGGGTCTTATTTTTCTATTTTTCATATCGCTCATAGAGTCTGTCTCTATTATATTCTAACAAACCTTTATCGGTTCTGCATTGCTGTAGGTGGTGAGCATTTCGTCGATATAAGATTTGTAAGGCAAAATTTTCACATAGCAATTCACTGATGCAGGTTTGTTTTCTTGCCATATTATCTTCACTTGGTTTTGTGTATTAGTTCGCAATTGCTGAAGATCAAGCAATGCCTGGTCTCACTCCTGTCTGTATGTATCTCGGTCCCATCGTATGTTTACCAGATCTTGTTGCAGGTTAGTGTATTTACGTCGAATTGCCCTAGTTGATCTTTTAATTTGATTTGTTAAAATGGTTCTACATATTGTTGTATTTTCTAGGGATCGGTCTATAGCATTAGCCAATTCAGCTATTGTACCCATATTATCATCAGAATTATACAAGTCTAGAGAATTTTCATCAGAATCGGATTCATTTTCGCCAAAATTCTATGCCTGTGCGTTTTGTAAAGCCTCTTGTGTATTTCTAAGTTCTAATCTATCTCGATATCTTAATAATGCTAATGCAAAATTTTAACAAAGCAGGTCTGTAATACGATTTTTTTGTTGATTTATTTTATTAATCCTATTTATTTGATTAGCCCTTATTGTATTTATTTCTCATTTAAGCTGTTCATTCTCATCTACTAATCTGGTTGTATAATCTTGTGCTTTGGAAGTATTACCCGCAGGTTTGATATCTTTCGTATTCGGGTTTTTAATTTTGTCTCGCGCTCATCGAATTCTAATATCAATTTATCTTTATTAGAAATTTCTGTCTTTCTTCTTATTTTCTTCCTCGACTTGGTGAACAATTCTTTTTAATTTTGAAATTTCTTCTAATAATTCTTCTTTGTCTTGTCTAGAAAGCTCGATAGTGTTATTTAACTCTTCTTCAAGAAATCGTATTCTTTCCTCCCGTATGCCGATAATTCTTTCTAAGGTATATAGACGCTGTTCAAAATTCCTATTTGATTCTGCTAATTGCGTCACTGCTTCATAAAGCTCTTGGTTGATTTGTTGTAACTCGTCCATTGTTTTTTATCACTATAATAAAACAAAGGAATGGGAAAACCAGTTATTTATATCGATCCAAAAGAGGCCCAGAGAATCGAAACAAATCTTATAATGTGAGATATATATTATTACCCAACTGGGTATTATTCTAATCTTAAATCCCTGAGAGATGCATGTAAAAAAGAGGGTATCGATTTCGTCTAAGTGAATGCAAAGATTTTTTAGAAAATCAGGAGTCATACCAAACAAATAAAACTTCTCCAAAATACATTCCTAGAATTAGCTACGGACGAATAACATGCTCTAATTGCATTCATCAATGCGATATACTGTTTCTCACTCATGACCACTATAGAGGTAAAAAATATAAAGCAGTACTTAACATTATAGACTGTGCCTCCCGATATAAAGCTTCAGTTCCTCTTAGATCAAAGAAAAGTTCTGAGGTTGCTAAAGCTTTTAGGAAAGTATTTGGTAATCAAAATAATCTATTGACATGGCCAAAGCTTTTACAATGTGATGGGGGTCGTGAATTTATGGGTGAGACCTCCAGATTATTGCAAGAGCATAGTGTCACAATTCGAGTGATTGGTCCATATTCTCATCGAGGTCTTGCATTTGTAGAGTGTTTCAATCAGACACTCTCAAAAATTCTGTATAAGACCCAATATGCTATTAAATCGATAACTTCTGATCCTAAATTAATAAGAGCATGTGTTAGATTTTTACCAGAAGTTATAGACTATCTAAATAACTACTCCATATGTCTTATTCAAGAACCAGGATCAGAAAAGTGGGGGCTCGAGTCTGTGAAAGCTATTGCATTAGAATGTGTAGAATCTAGACCATCCGCAAAATATAAACGCCCAGTTGAAAAAGATGAAGCAAAATTAAAGAAAGGTGATACTGTTCGTTACTTACTTGCCAATGCAAAATGGAAAGGGGGTATGGAAAATCAAAAGCATGCAACAGACATGATATGGAGTCCAACTTTATTTAAAATTAGAAAAATTGTTGTAACAAAGAACGAACCAGTTTTATATTATCTTGATGGAGAATATTCCTCTTCTCGCGAGTTTGTGCGAGAAGAACTTATATTAATAGTTAATCCAGAAAAGGTTGAGTACCCACCTCAAAGTATATTATTGGTATATTTCGTTTATGCTTCTAATAATGAGATAGCTCAAGCTGAAGATTTTGCCAAAAAGCGTGGTGGCCAATATTTTGGGAAAACTGGGTGAATAAATGGTCATAATGTTTATCTTTGGTCCTGTGAAAATGATGCGTATCAGTGGGAGTATCTGCTAAAATATAGTATGAAAAAATCCGAGTAGTGTCCTCTATGTCACCATTCAAGCAGTGAATGTCAATGCCGATATATTTTTGAGGATCTACTAGGTAAGAAATTTTTACCACATAGGTCGAATTTTTTTTAGATGGGATGCATCTCGATGGGTATAATGAGGAATTATGTCTTGCGTTTGAATTTCAGGGCCCCCAACACTATCATCACAATAGTCTATATCATAGAGAGAGTGAAAATTTGAAATCACAAAAAATGCGTGATCAAAAGAAGCGGGATATATGCAAGAACCAAGGTATATGTCTTATCGAAGTGCCTTATACATATGACCTTTTTCCTTATATCAAGCATATGCTAATTGAGAAAGGATTCTTGGATAAAGCTAAGGATTAAAATTATTTTTAGTATATTATTATTAATACTTAGTTTGACATGAAAATAAAAAAGCTTGAGCCAGTTGATAGGCTAATATACCACATTGATGAGATTAAAGATGCTCAAAAATATAATGATCATTCTAGTACGCCTCAATGGCCTTTTACTCTTCTAATTTCAGGTCGTACTAATTCAAGGAAAACTAATGAAGTTCTTAATCTCATGCTTGAAGATAAACTTTATCGAATATTTAATGTCAAAAAAGAAGGAACATGTTATATAAAGTGTGATGATTTGGTCTTGATCGGCTATAATCTTAAGGAGCTGAAATACTTATACCTCAAATCAGTGTATCAGATAATTGCGAATAATTCGAAGTCATACCGTGAAAATATTATATTCCGAGCTTTGAAACCCGATAAAATCCCTAAAGTAGATTCATTTTCTCCCAATAGAGGTACAGTAGCTATATTCGAAGATGTATGTGCTGATCCAAAAAAAGTGCAGGAGAAAATTATTCCTTATTTTGTTGAAGGACGACATTATAACATCAGTTTGATATATATATCTCAGAGTTACTTTGACTGTCCCAAAATAATACGAAAAAATCGTACACATGTTTGTTTGTTTAATGGGTCATGTACTACAGATGAACTAGTCAGAATTGTGCGTCAATATGCCAATAACTGGCGTAGTAAGATTAAAATTATTGACAAGTATTTATGTGAGCAAAAATTCATTGTTTTCGATTTAACTGTACCCCACGAGTATCCACACAGGATATGCGTCAGTTGGAATGTACCTCTCACTAATGAATAGAATCTGACTTTGTAGATGCCAGCTTTTTTCTGTTATATATACCCATCAAGAATATATTTATTCACATCTAGATGCTTTCACTATTCCCGAGAACATATCTTGAAAAATAAAGGCTTCTGCTATTTTTATATAATATAATTATACAGTTACCTTCATTTCTAGTTGTATATCCAGATGCCTTTCTTTTATGATTTGCTACCTAAGTTTGCTATTGCTTCTTTTTGCATCTATATCGCATTTTCTCATTTCATACACGCCTACATGCATTGTGGTGAGTAAATATATTATTAATTAATGTCAGAAAAAAATAGTTATTATATCACTTTGATCATATTTTAAAAAAATAAATTATATTATTTAGTCGAAAGTAATAATCTATAATTAAACTATTTCTCAGAATCAGTCAGATAAACAATTGTAATTTCTGTTCCATCTTTCAATCTTAATACAGTATCTTTGGGTAGATTAAGATGAAATGGAAGTAAATTAATTTGTTTTGCAAAGAGAGACGAGAT